TACTACTGTTATACTTAAAAGTATACTTTTATATACTAGAAAGTGGGCCAATTTAGTCCCAAGGAGTATTGAAATAGTACACTTACAAGTATACTACTAGTACACTGATATTTGTATACTTACTACAAAGTATACTTAAAAATATACTTCAACTTTACTTAAGTATACTTGCTAAAATAAACTTGAAGTATACTACTTTTTGGTAAGGGGTGTCTGCCAGTCAAGTTTCTCTATTCAGAATGTGTGAACTCAAAGGTGTCAAACTCAGAACAATAGCATTACAACACGACCCCCCATTGAACCCAGTTTTTGTGTGTGTGTGGGAAACATCACACATTTGCTCTGGAAATAAAAAAAAATAACACTTTAAATGAACTTTAATAAACTTTGCCTTGGTTTGTCTGTTTATTTTAACCGGTTCTCTTGTGATATGATTGTGGCAAAGTTGATGAAAGAGCGCTTTCTCGGCAACAGCGCTACAATGCTATATCACAAACTATGTGAACAGCATAGTGAGGACTGGATGGAGAGGACCCTGCAGTACCTGTCTGCGTGTGACCGGTTTCAGAGCACCACCAACACACGGCCCATCACACCTCCGCCTCCCATGCTGCCTGTACCAACTGCCAAGTGGCTCCTCTCAGTCCACGCGGAGGATGTCCGGTCCCAGTATAGTGAGCTAAAAGCCAGGATCACCTCTGTCTTTGGGTCCATCTTGAAGATGGACTCCACAAAACAGGTAACCTATTAATCACGGATTATTTTAAATACAACTGTACATATAGATTTGATCCTTTGTACATGTAAGGCATGTTTTGGAGCTCACTGAATTGTTTTGTTTTCCGACAACAGGTGGCTAAAAAAAACTGGTGGGAGCTGCAGCTGAGTACCGCTGTGCTTGGGGGTCCACTTCCCTGGAGTCCTTCCATAATCACCTCAACCGCTTCATACCCGGTAAGATTACACACATCCACCTCGAGGTGTGTTTTTGTGATAGTCTATTTCATGTCATTTGTAATTATAAATTAGTGTTAATGTTTCCTTTTTTTTTTTAAATCAGGAACGAGCGCTAACCTGGAACATTTCCAGGATTATCTGCTTGAGGGTTTGGAGCGGTGGAACGAGGACCGCGCTGCTGCTGCCGTCACACATGATGCTCCCTTGTCGCTGCGCTGCTACAGTGGCTCGCTCCAGCACAGCCTCAATAAGCTCAGCCAGCGTCTTCTTGGCTGTAGTCTTGTGCAAGCCTACTCCAAGCCAGGACAGTACACAGGTATGTGTATTTTTTTTTATAGTGCACAGACTTCTATTTTACAACCTTGTTTTCTATCTAATTTTCTTTTGTCAGACGAGCTCATTGGGGTGGAGTACCCGTGCTCGCAGCAGTCCTGGGAGTTCAGGGAGAACTTTGGGCGGGACCCAGATGTCCCAGACAGAATCCCAGCAGACTTGGGAGATGTAGAAGATGAGGGATTTGGGGATGAGGCAGAGGAGCAGGACCACACCATCTCCCCTCTTTCTTTAGTATCAACCAAGGAAGCTTTTGGCTTGTCTCGGGTTTCACTGTCACCCTCTCAGTCTTCCCAGGACTTGCCACCTGAGCCCCAAGAAGATGTATGCATGCATACAAGCATCCTCTGCCATGCCATCACTTGGAGGACTTTTTCCTTCATCGATACTAACTGATCTTCTTTCTTCTTGTTAGGTGTGCAGAGGACCAGACAGGACTCCAGGATTTGACAGAGTGGTGGACCTGGCCAGATACCTTGTCGAGCTGAGGGAAAAGCCTTGCATCTCGGACAGGGAAGCCGCTGACATTGTTCGGCTGTGGGACAGACTGCCGGACAGTGACAGACAGGGTGTTTCCTATCCACCGAGACACAAGGAGAGACTTTTGCAAGGCAGGTTCAAGACCACCCACTCCAAAACTTTAACCTGCCATGGAAAAGAGAGCCTGAAGTGGTAAGTTAAACATTTGCACACTTTGAGCTGTAAAAATATAAATGACTATGCTTTATAATCCCCTATTTTATTTTACAGATGTATGCGTCCTGCGCAGTGGCCTAATATTAGTAGGATTGTAGAGGCAGTATTCTGTTCATCCTATTAATTGTGTCATTTCAAACAGGTACAACAACTACAGGAAGAAGCTGGAAGCAGATGTGCTGGCTCTTGAGTGTGGCCTTACCTCAGATCAGCATGGTGTCGCTTCCTGTAGCCAGGCAGATGACGTCAATGCCCTCTGCACCTGGGTCAGCACTTCAGCCTTTCCCCTATGTTGAAAACCCTGATCTGTCAGGTCAGGCCACACGATATGGGCAGCGACCTCCTCCCCCTGCATCAGCACCTGCTCTCTCTGCTCCACTGGCAGGAACATCCATGAGCAGAACAACTCTGTGGAGGAAGAGGAAGGCAGCAGCGTTTTTAGCTCAAGAGCAAGGGCTGCCCCGTCCCCAGCAACCTGCATGAAAAGAGTACACGTGCACTCGATGTGGGCAGCCCAGAAAAAAAAGAGTTTGGGCAGCCTCTACTTCTTTGCCACATCAGAGGGAAAGACACTAGAAAAGTGGCTACAAGAGAAGCGGAATGAGGGAAATCCTTCACTGTAAATAGTTTTATTTGTAAATATTGTACATATCCTTTGCTTCTTTCTATTAAGAATTTTATTTTATTCTATTAACGTTTATTTGTATTTAATAAAGGTTGTGTAAATAGTCCAAAATGATTGTTCTTTATTTCAAAAGGTTTATCTGCCTATATAAAGGACATATAAAGTGTTCTTTATTTGAGAACATTTATTTGCCCTCATAAAGGCTACATTAATAAATCCAAACCTTATTTCAGGTTTATCTGCCTTCACAAAGGCCATGTTACCCAAATTACTTTTTTATTTGCCTTCATGAAGGTCATGTTAATTGTCTTACCCATTTCTTTCATTTGTGTAGCTTTATTTTAAAATTATTCGTTAGCATTTTAATGTTCCCAATTTTTTAAAAATAAATCATATTGATTATAAAGGTATGAACTAAGTTGAATTTATTTAATAGCAATTCTACCCCTAAATACATCTCACAGTCAGTCTGTTTTTGTTTGTTTATTTATTAAATGGTTCACACTAGAAAACAAATATAAAAAGTATAAAAATATATAATTGTGCACAAATTACTAAACACAAATATATAAATAAAACAGAAAAAACTACAACAAAATTAAAGATAATAAAATATGTATTAAAAGAGTTTACACTAGAAAAAATAAATGTAAATAAAATGCTAAATGCAAACATTAAAACGGAAAAAAATTAACAGCAGAAACAGTACAACAAAATTAAAGATAATAACAAGATTTATTAAATAGGTCACATCAAAAAAATATAAGTTATATAATATATGTAAATGTAAACAATATACAAATATTAAAATAAAATAGAACAATGTAAGAAAAAGTATAACAAGTTCTTTATAGAAAAAAAATTCGAAACAGTATATAAATGTAAATAAAATACTAAACACAAATATTAAAATAAAAATCAACAGCGGAAACAGTAGAACAAAATTAACAAATATAATAAAAGTTTTATCAAATAGTTCACATTAGAAAAAAAATATAAAAATATGTAAATGTAAACAAAATACTAAATACAAATGAAAAGAAAAGAAACAAATTAAGAAACAGTATAACAGAATTAGCAAAGATAAAATATTTATTAAATAGTTTTTGAAAAAAAAAATTGAAACAGTATACAGTGGGTACGGAAAGTATTCAGACCCCCTTCAATTTTTCACTCTTTGTTATTAAAAATATTAAAAGAAAAAAGAAAAAGAAAAAAATAACAGCAGAATCAGCATAACAAAGTTAACAAAGATAGAGATGAATGAAATATCAAAATAATTAAATATTAAACCATATTAAATCCTTCATTCAACAGGAGCAAGGACCCGTTGCTCTGCCAACCAAAAGTTCCACAGTTTTGCCTTCATAGGTGCTGCAGAAGACTTTGCCAGTGTACTGTGAGTGTCCATACTCATTTGTCTTTGGCTGCTGGCACAGGCTGAAGGTAAATATCTTGCGTTGTTTTAGGTTCTCCTGAGAAAAGCCTTTAGCAATTGTCAGCAGCAGCTATCCTCTTCTGTTCAGACAGCCACTTGGAGACAGACTTTCCTGCAGCTGTGGCACAGAAATGTTAACCTCTGTAAAAGCTGTGCCCAAACTCAAGTCTCTTGGGCTTTCCACAGAGTCTGCAGGGATACCCCTTTGAATCCCTTCTCCGTGCAGTGGCTTTGCCGTGCTTTAGGGCCTTCTTATAAGACACACAAAAAAAGTTATTTTAGACATTTGTTGACTTTCATATGACTTAATTCTTTTATATTCATTCATACAAATCTTACCTGACACTTTGACTGTCTTCATTTTTGGAGGCCACTGCTTGGACGTGGATGGGGTGGCTTGAGAACTATCTTCTTCCAAGCTCTCCCGGAACCTTCTCCTCTTCTCACTTTCCTCCGCAGAAATAACTGGAGGCCAATGTGGTTTGCGGAACTTCATCCTCCTCTTTTCTTTCTCTGAGGCTTCTGCCTTGCAGACACGTAATGTTGTGTTGTCCGTGTGTGAAGATAGCTTCTTCCAAAGCTTCTCCCTCCGTTCCTGGTCTCTCTGGGAAAGGACTGGAGGCCATCTCTGCTTTCTTGTCATCTTACAATGTAAATACTGCTTTCTCAACTCAAACTGGTCAATATTTCACACTGTGGGGGGCCAAACAGAGAAGATTAGCCCGGAAAGTATGTTGAGATGCATTTAGCACTACATTAATTATACTAAAAAATGTTTTAGGTTTATGAAGCACTTTTTAAGGTATATTTTTAAGAATAACATAAGACAAATATTTTGTTTTCTCTGCATTAACGGTCTTTTGGTATCTGTACCATGTCTCCTATAAGATGTCAAAGGACACCTGCAGCTTGTCTTTCCTCCACTGACATTCAGCTCTCCTGCACTCACGTCGAACAGTGTAATATCTTTCAACCATGGCTCTGTTTTTTGGCTTAGGACGCATCATTTTAAAAGGTGCAACCAGTGGTGTTGTAATGTGGTGTTTGGGTTTTGTCATGTTCATGTTTTCCATGTCTTTTATTTTGTAGTTTGATTCCTGCTCTTTGTGTCATGCCTCCCCTGCCCTCATGTATTCATGCCATTGGTTCCTCTGTTCATTGTGTCATGTTCTGATTGGTTGTCTTAGTCATGTGTCGCATTTAACCTGCAGTTACAGATGGATGAATAATGTTTTGTTTTTAAAATAAAACGTTGAATACTGATATTTGAAATGATTTTAAAACATGAAAAACATTGTCGAAATGTGAAATTAAAACCGCCAGTAGGTGACAGCAAGTTACTGTTAATGAGTGAGTCATTGAGATTCAACCGATTCATTCAAACGACTGATTCATTCAGAAACATAGCGTTTGACTATTGCTGCGTCCCAAAGCCTAGGCGGCTGACTCACTGCCTTTAGGGCTGTGTATCACCAGCAAAGTCACGATACGATACGCATCACGGACCGCACTTGGGTTCTCACAACGCTCGCCTTCAGTGGATTAATTCGTTACAGGTGTATAAAGTACCTGGAAGCCATACTCAAGTAAAAGTACAGATATCTTACCAGAAAATGACTTTGGTAGAAGTTGAAGTCACCGTTTAGAATATTACTTGAGTAAAAGTCTTAAAGTATGTGATATTTATTGTACTTGAGT